CGAAATATAAGCCACGACGCTCTCTCTGTGTAAACGCGCCTGACGTAAATTTTACCACCGTCACGTTAAATAAATTTGCGTTTTCACCGAGTATTTTCATCTTCTTGATATAGATGCACTTACTCGTAATTCTTTTGCGTCCAATCCGGACAAACACGGGCTTGCCGTCTTGTAATAACCGTCACAATTAATACAGGTGACGTATTACAATAGTTTTCAATGTCGCCCTGTATATGAATATATCGCAATCAATGGTCGCATTCAATGCGCACAACAATCGTGTAGCACTTGAGTAGCAAATTGAATCCGACTCGCTGAATGTCTCAGACCGTATGCCGATCGTATTCAATTGCTGCTAAACTATTGTTTCAATCCGTTGAATGTGTCCAGTGTAAACATGGAATGAGATTTGACCACCTATATTTAGCTTAGTATAAATATAAGTTAACAATCTTAATGCGTATTGTGCGCCACTATGTAATATCGCCACAAACGGCGTAGAAAAAATGGATGATAAACATTAACGTGCAAGATCTTCCGATAAAAATTGACAAAACTTACAGAGCACGGATCATTTCCTTTTGACATATATTGTATATTTCTGAGTAATACACGCTTTGAATTTTATGGCTGTCTCTTTTGGTTTCTCAAATATGCGACTTTGAAATATCATAATTTTCGTATTTATCTATTTTAAATATACGCTATAAAGTACTTACAGTATACCTCTCATAGTATCAATGTTGTTCTCCATAATGATGCTTCGTTCCGATCTACCTAAGTCAAAGGTTGACAACTAACTAAACAAAACTCGAAGCCTTCTCACAAACGCGGCGCACATAGTATAGCCCCCACTCCTCTATTCAGTGAGCTCGCGCCAACGGGCCGTTGTAAACAAAAATAATGTTTACGTTTAATTTTGTCAATATACGTATTTACGAGAATGTCGGGAATAAATTTGCTTTCATTCATAAATAAATTTTTCAATAATGATATGCGAATAAAAATATTCGTCGCACAAATTTATGTCTTATATCATTGGTATGTCTTTATATGTGTAATCTTTTATATTAACGAGCTAATACGCGAAAAGTTAATCTTCTTCTTTATTAAAAATTCATTATTATAGAAAATATTCATAATTATTAAGTCCAATTTCTTTCTCAATGTTGTTAACTTATTTTAAATTTATTTTAAATTTATTTTAAATTTATTTTAAATTTCTCCTTTTTTTATTTACTCAATTTAGATTCGCGATTAACTAATTTCGTCGCAAGGGCTGTTGAATAGCCATTTATATCAAATTAATTATTAACTTGAGGATGATATTTCACACGATTCACGATTATTACTTCGCTTTATTACAAACATATACGTTCTCATTTATATTTATCAGTAGTGGACAAATAAAATTGCTCTTTATCGCGAGGTTGAGGATTCTCAAATAAAATCCTAGCAGAGACGTAATCGGTACCCCCATCGAGAAACACGTAAATATAAAGTCCCGTCACCGCATCTGTCTCTCTCATTCTCCTTCTCTCCCGTCTTTTTCTCGTCGGGGATCGACGGTCCATTCTTTTCTCGCCGCATTCCGCGCGGGCGCGCGCGCCGGAGCTTCTATTTTTCTTTATTAGCCCGTCACTGAGCAACAATGCCGTGCTCAGCGCGCGCCGCACCGGTGTCACTTGGTCTGGCTTTTCGCAAACTCGCGCAAGTCAGGCCTGCGAAAGCGAGACGTGGGCCGGGACGCGGATGCGAGCGAGCCACATCTGCGGATTCCCGCAGAATATCACTGTCGCCCGCGCGAACAAAGGGAAACGGGAAATAACGGTAGGGTCGGTACGAGGGATGGCTCGTACAGGGTAGAGATACCGTGAAGAAGAAGGAAGAAGGAGGAGAAAGAAAGGGAGAGAAAGAGCAGCGAGGAAGAGAGAATGGAGGAGTACGAGAGAGGGTGCATCGCCTCGGGGGCGTCTCTTCCTGCCCGGTCTCTTACGTTTTCCTCCCCCCGGTGTCCTTACTTCTTGCAGTCGCATCGTTGCTCTCAGCGACCCTCCTCGATCCTCGCTTCTCCCTCTCTAGACTATCCCGCAGCTCCTTTAAATAGCCATGTGACGCTACGGGCATCGCCATATTACATTCCGTATACACAACGACAGCACAGTCAGTGTATGATGATACATACACGCGCATACGAATCTTGAGAAACCCAAGGACGCGAATCCCTGATTCCGATAGCGGGGGTGCGCAATGAAACGACCGTATCGTTGTGGGTCTTTTTACGCGTTTACGTGCCCGTACTTACGTTCTCCCCCGCAACTTTTTCAGACCCCAACTTTAAACCTTCTTTCCGCCGCTGTTGAATTTTACGCGATGTGTTCCATGCGCGATCATGATCGCCGGTCACATCGATTATTCGTTGTTCTGGCGATGCAACAAAAATTTCAGAATGTCATCTGTGACACATAACTGGTATGAAGTTTGAGAGAAAAGTCGAAAATTCGCGATAGAAAGAGTACATTTTAAGTATCTTCGCACAATCGATTATTATTTCGCTATAATAATAGTACGCGATATCAGAACTTTGCTACAACAATAGCAAAACTGTCTATTAAGGGATATACAAGCGGGAGGCATCTAATGATAAATTCAAGGGATGTTCGATTATTGATGCGCTACATTCAATTTATTCGACACTATTACGCAAACTATATCGTTATTTATTCATAGTTCAATATTAACTTACTTGCTATTAAGTTACTAATTGCATTAATAATATATTCTTCCATTACGTGTTGAAAGAACAATTGCGCGCATAATATTTGGATACGTTAGTTGAGTTTGCTTTTATTAATAATTCAATATCGAATCATCACAAACGAAACATCACGGAGAGACCAGCTTTTGAAAACATGGAGAAGACATCTCCGGATTTAAAAATAAATAGACGGTCAAAAATAGGTTATCGTATAAATTTAGCATTTACATATTTTATGGCTCTCATAGAAAAAAATAAAAGATTTCAAAACGTTACTGTATTAAATTTAACATAGAAGACTAATGCAATTTAAAGTTATTTCCATATCCCAACTATTTCCAGATTTTGTTGAATAAATTTGCGTAATTAGTTTTTCATTGGATATAAATGTGGAACGATATGTGTCTATATGTAATTATTGCAATTAAACATATTCGTTCCCGAGAAATTA